TTAGAGAACCAAAAGGCCCTTCAAAAAAAGTCAACAAATCCAGGAGCTGATTGTTTGAAACAACAACAACAATAAAACAGGTCACTGGTTAGACTAATCAAAACGAAAAGAGAGAAGATTCAAATAAACACAATAAAAAAATGAAAGAGGGATATTACCACTAACCCAATAGAAATGCAAACAACTTTCAGAAAATACTATAAACACCTCTATGCACATAAACTAGAAAATCTAGAAGAAATGAATAAAGTCCTGGACACATACACCCTCCCAAGACTAATTCAGGAAGAAATTGAATCCATGAATAGACAAATAATGAGTTCTGAATTTGAGGCAGTAATAAATAGCCTACCAACAAAAAAAGCCCAGGACCAGACTGATTCACAGTTGAATTCTACCAGAGGTACAAAGAAAAGCTGGTATCATTCCTACTGAATCTATTCCAAAAAATTGAAAAGGAGGGAGTCCTCCCTAACTAATTCTATGAGGCCAGCATCATCCTGATACCAGAACCTAGCAGAGATACAGCAAAAAAAGAAAACTTCAGGCCAATATCCTCAACGAACATTGATGCAAAAATCCTCAACAAAATAATGGCAAGCTGAATCTAGCAGCACATCATAAAGCTTATCCACCACGATCAAGTAGACTTCATCCCTGAATGTAAGGTTTGTTTAACATATGCAAAACAATAGATATGATTTATAACATAAACAAATCTAAAGAAAATAACCACATGATGATCTCAATAGATGTTTCTCTTCATGTTAAAAACTCTCAATAAACTCGATATCAAAGAATCATACCTCAAAATAATAAACATATGTGACAAACCCACAGCCACTATTATACTGAATGGACATAAGTTAGTACCATTTCCTTTGAAAACTGGTATAAGACAAGGATGCCCTCTCTCACCACTCGGATTCAACATAGTATTGGAAGTTCTTACCAGGGCAATCAGAAAAGATTTTAAAAAGCATATTTAAATAGGAAGAAAGGAAGTCAAACCATCTTTGTTTGCAGAAGACATGATCCTATGTCTAGAAAACACTACTGTCTCAGCCCAAAAGGTTCTTAAGCTGGTAAGCAACTTTAGCAAAGTCTTAGGATACAAAATCAAATGCAAAAATCACTAGCATTCCTATACACAAACAACAAGCAGGCCAAGTGCCAAATCATGAATGAACTCCCACTCAAAATTGCTACAAAGAGAATAAAATACCTAGGAATTACCTATAAAATATCAGCTCACAAGGGAAGTGAAAGATCTCTACAATGAGAACTACAAACCACTGCTCAAGGAAATCAGAGAAGACACAAACAAATGGAGAAACATTTCATGCTCATGAATAGGAAGAGTCAGTATTGTGAAAAAGGCCACACACTGCCCAAAGTAATCTACAGATTTGGTACTATTCCCATTTAAACTACCATTGACAGTCTTCACAGAATTAGAAAAAACTATTTTAAAATTCATATGAAACCAAAAATGATCCCAAATATCCAAGACAACCCTAAGCAAAAAGAACAAAGCCGGAGGCATCACACTACCTGACTTGACACTATACTACAAGGCTTACTATACTATACTGTAGTAACCAAAATAGCATGGTACTGGTACAGGAACAGACACATAGAACAATGGAACAGAATGGAGTACCCAAAAATAAAACTGCACACCTCCAACCATCTGATTTTTGACAAACCTGACAAAAACAAGAAACAGTGAAAGGATTCCCATTCAATAAATGGTGCTGGGATAACTGGCTAGCTATACGCAGAAAATTGAAACTGGACCCCTTCCTTATACCTTTTACAAAAATCTACTCCAGATGGATTAAAGACTTAAATGTAAAACCCAAAACAATAAAAACCATAGAAGAAAACCTAAGCAATACCATTCAGGACATAGGCAGAGGCAAAGATTTCATAACAAATGTGCCAAAAGCAATTTCAACAAAAGCAAAAATTGACAAATGAGATTTAATTAAATGAAAGAGTTTCTGCACAGCAAAATAAACTATCATCAGAATGAACAATCAGTCTACTGAATGGGAATCAATTTTTGCAATTTATCCATCTGAGAAGCTTCTAATATCCAGCCTCTATAAGTAACTTAAACAAATTTACAAGAAAAAACAAACAACTCATTTAAAAAAATGGGCAAAAGAAATGAACAGATACTTCTCAAAATAAGACATGCAGCCAACACATATGAAAAAGCTAAATGCCACTGAACATTAGAAAAATACAAATCAAAGCCACAATGAGATACCATCTTAAACCTGTCAGAATGGCTATTATTGAAAAGTCAAAACAGAACAGATGCAGGTAAAGTTGTGGGAAAAAAAGGAATGCTTTTGTACTTGTTGGGAGTATAAATTAACTCACCCATTGTGGAAGGCAATGTGGCAATTCCTCAAAGACCCAGAGGTAGAAATACCATTTGACCCAGCAATCCCATTACTAGATATATAGCCAAAGAACTATAAATCATTCTATTATAAAGATACATGCACACATATGTTAATTGCAGCACTATTCACAGTAGCAAACACGTGGAATAGAAAACGTTGATATCCATCAATGACGGGCTGGATAAAGAAAATGTGCTACATATATGCCATGGAATACTATGAAGCCATAAAAATGAATGAGATTATGTCCTTTGCAGGGACATAGATGGAACTAGAAGCCATTATCCTCAGCAAACTAATGCAGGAAGAGAAAAACCAAATACTTAAAAGTGGGCGCTGAAAAATGAGAACGCATAAACATGAGAGAGGAACAATACACACTGAGGCCTGTTGGAGAGTCAGTGGGGGACAAGCAAGAGCATCAGGAATGCTCATGGATGCTGGCCTTAATACATAGGTGATGTGGTGATCTGTGCAGGAAACCACCATGGAACATGTTTACCTATGTAACAAACTTGCATATCCTGCACATGTACCACTAAAGTTAAATAGAAAAGGAAGTGAAAAACCAAGATCCTCAACATAATTAGTCTTTAGAGACATGCTAACTGAATACACAAGGAGACATCACTGCCTTTCTACTACAATACATTTTTTAAAAAATCTGACAATACCAACCTCTGGTGTGGAAGTGGAGCAACAGCATTACATTTCTGCTTATAGTGCAAAATGGTACAGCCACTCCAGAAAACAATTTGACAGTTTCATACTAATTGCAATATATACTTACCATATGACCCAACAATCCTGCTCTTAGATATTTAACCAAAGTAAATATAAATATATGTCCATACAAATACCCGTATGTAATTGCTCAGAATCATCAAAAATTGATCACAACCCACTGGTCCATACCTGGTGAATGGGTACACAAACTATGGTATATCCATATATGGAATACCACTGGGCAATAAAAAGGGGGGAAAAACATAATTGTTTTCTGAATCCAGTTTATAACATTCATAAAAAGGCAAAACATTAAGACCAGACATCAGATTAGTAGTTTCCAGAGAATGACAGATGTGGAGATTGTCACAAAGATCAGAAGGGATATTTGAGGGATGATAGGAATGGTCTGTAAACTTGACTGAAATGGTAATGACATGATGGTGTAGATTTGTAAAAACTTATCAAATTGCACACATAACAGAGGTAAGTTTTATAATATGTAATTTATACCTCAACAAAGCTGACTTTAAGATATATAGAAGTCTTTAAAATCCAAAGAGCAAGGAATAATTCATTGTTAAATCTTAACTTCACCCTTTCTTCCACAATTTGAGATTTTCACCTTAGAGCAAAATACCTAACTCTTTTGCCTACCTATTGGAGAAAATTCTGTAATGAGTTTCTTCATAATGATTAGCATCCATATCTTGTCCTCCCCCTTGAAAACAGACTGGTTAATTTCATAAAAACAAGCCATTTCCTTTTCTTTAAAATTCTGCTTGCCCTCTTAAAATCCTGACAGAAGCTGCAAGAGAGAAAAGGATGTCTTTATAAAAACTCTCTTCCTCCTAATTTTTCAGAAATAAAGTGTACCCAATCCAAAGTTGCATTGTTTCTCATACTGTGTTTTCTTTATCCATACTTACTCTTTGACTTACTAGTTTATTTTAGTAACTTTTCTGTAGAGTGGGACCTATCTAATATTTCCAGGGTGTGAAAGCAGATAATGGGAATTTTAAAGGCACTTCCAAATCTTGTATTATGTTATTAAGAATATAAAGAATGCACTCAAAGACACTCAGCAAAAGTGTTCTCCAACTGAATGAAATCTGAGTTTCATGGTATTGCCAATAAATATTTATTTGTAAAATAAATGAGCAACTTACATTCATTCCATCCTATTCTAATAATCTCCCTTACTGGTTTATGTTTAGACTTTTCTATGCCTCATTATGTTAAAGAAAAATTACACTTGTTTTCTTATAAAAACGTGTTCTATTGGTTCATAAGGCAAGAATAATAATTCACATTTTTTAATGTTTATGTGTTAGACAAGCATTGCTCCAAGTACTTTAATTTAACCTTCACAAAAAAATCTATGAGGCAGATTTTATTACCTTTGTTTGAGAAATTAGGGAATGGAAACACAGAAACCCAGAGAAGTTAGGCCATTTGCCCAAGATCACACAGCTGTTAAATAGAGGAGTCAGAATTTGAAACTAAGCAGTTATGGCTCCTGAAACACCATCTATAACTTTAATTCAATATTGTCCCTCAAAGAGAAAGCTGTTAATTAAACAAGAACACATTCGTTTAAAAGCAAATACTTCATGAATACATACAATGGCTTGAATGCCTTTCTAGGAACTGGGAAAATAATAGTATAATGTTAAATGAACACATCTTTCAACTCACCAATTTCTCAATAAAAATTTTAAATAACTGAGAAATAAAAGTATGTTTTCAGTATAGACATAAAAACAACTAGTGTATCAGTCCATTTTTGAGTTGCTATGAAGGAATATCTGAGGCTGGGTAATTTAGAAAAAAAAAGAAGTTTAATTGGCTCACAGTTCTGCAGGCTTTACAGGAAGTGTTATACTGGGAACTGCTTCTGGTGAGGCCTCAGGAAGCTTACAATCACAGTGTAAGGTGAAGAGGGAGCAGGCACATCACACTGCAAGAGCAGAAGCAAGAGAGGTGGGGAGGTGCCACACATTTTTAAACAATCAAACTCATGAGAACTCACTATCACAAAGATAACATCAAGACACTCATGAGGATAAGGGATCTGCCCCGTGACGCAAACACCTCCCACTATCTCCAACACTGGAGATTACATTTCAACATGAGATTTGGAGGGGCAAACAGCCAAACTAAATCAACAAGTTTGTGTCTTGAATTAAATCACTTTATTTGCTTCACTGCTTACTAAGACAATTTGGGCATATGAAGAAATCATAATAAACCGGAAAATTAAGATTAAAATATGGACATAATTAGCAGTTTTTAATGTGCCAAATACTGTATTGCTGAACACATAATTAATGGGGTCAGAAATTTCCAGGTTTATTATCTATGAAATGGGAGGTTGTATCAGAAAGTTATTTCAGGACAATTTGTTTTATCCCCTGGTATTAGACTTAAAGCCTATATGGATTGCAAACTTCTCATAATTCATAGAAAATTTCTTAGTTTTCAGTATCCTCTCTGTATTTCTAAGTCCACATAAATTATGGAGGAGTAAAAGAAACTAAACTCAGCTAATTTTATATTATTTTCTTCTATCAATTGTTATTTTTATCATGACTGGTTCACCCTTTAAGAGGAGTCTATTTCAGTATAATTTTTGAAGTTTCAAGTCAGATTTCCAAACATAGATTGAATTATTCTCTTAAACTAGTAAAAGTAATTTGAAAGAAGAAAGGAATGGAGAGAAAAAGGGATAAAGAGAGAGAAAAAGTGAAAGGAAGAAACTCAGATCTACCGCTAATTTTTTATTTGTTTGGCTTTTATTTTTATTGGGGGTGGTGAGGAGGAGGCGGGTTTGAACAGAAGGACAAGATACTTCCTTCTAAAGCTTTCTGCATGATGAAGTTAATTATCATTTCTTCTCTTCAGACATGGCTGGCTCCTTCCTAGGAAGTGCCAACATCTGTTGAGAGAACATCTGTTAGGCAAGAGGAGATACTGGGAGATAAGCTGCTTACTCAGACAATTTGGGCATATGAAGAAATCATAATAAACTGAACTGGAAAATTAAGATTAAAATATGGACATAATTAGCAGTTTTTAATGTGCCAAATACTGTATTGCTGAACACATAATTAATGGGGTCAGAAACTGCCAGTGATTGTCAGCAACTACAGCTCATAGTAGTTCAACCAGCTATTCAGAAGCATTTACTAGGTGGTGGGGTCACAGGTTTACTCAAGGTAAATGCTTACAAGAGAGCACACACTAAAATTTTGTCAGCTTGTATAAACTCCATGCACAGTCCTTTATAACCCAGGTCACTGTGTGCAGAGCATGAGGATTTTATATTACCTGGTTTCAACGTATGGTCCAACTACTTTAAATTTATGTAAATGCATGCACGTGTGTGTGTGTGTGTGCGCGTGTGTGTGTGTTTACTGTAAATACAAAGACAGTAATGGTGAGGAACACAAAATTATTTGGATCTTTATCATTTCTTTTTAAATTTCGCACACATGATCATCCCTGTTTCCAACAATCCTGTGAGACAGATTGGCCAAACCATTTTCTCCATTTTAAAATTGAGGAAACAATCACCAGTGGTTAAATGATTTGAGCCAGGTTATACAGGACTTGTATAAAATAAATTCAGACATTTAATTCTATATAATGCTTTGAATAAATTTATTAAAACATGAAATGGGTATCCTAAAATTCAAATTTTGACACTGAATCATACATTAGAAGCATAATCCAAAATATTCCCCAACCATATTCCCACCCAATACACACACACTCACTCCTCTCTCTCTCTCTCTTATTTAAAGCCGACAACTCTTAACTTCAGTTTCTAGAAAACTTTAAGTTAGAGTTTTTAATTTTGATCTTTCTACTATGCCAGCAGTATAATTTTCTTCTTTCAATCAGCTACAAGAGAGAAATTTAACTTGGCATACATTCTTCTTTTCAAATAGCTTGTGTGGTTTTCAAGTTTCAGTATTTAAAAAGATGCATTTTCTTAAAATACTAATAATTTCAGATTTTTATGTTGATAAAAGAAGTTTGTGTATAAAAGGGATTGAGTAAATACCAAGAGAACAGACTCTAAGGCTGATTAAAGCTAAAAGTCTAGGTTTTCAATTCTAAGAAACTGTTCTATTCTTTCCAGCAAAAAGCCTAAAATACAGAGAAGTCCAAACATTACCAGAAAAATATCTACTTTTTTCCAAGGTGGTACCAATGTCAGTACGGAAGAGCAGGCTAACTGGTTCAGCCTTATGCATTGCTTCTTGCATTCATAGTTAAGATATTATTGTGGAATCTGACTCCAGTGTTACCTGATAACTCTTCTACCTAAAATGATAGCAGACACCTGCAAAAGAATTTTGATTTATCAACAGGTCTATTAACAACTTAAAAGGGATCCTAAACTGTTAAAAAAAAAAAAGTCAGGAATACAAAGGAAGTCTACTATGTGGTAACTCTTCTCAGGAAGAAAACTGGCATATGTAAATCAAGACATCTAGAATATTTAAGTCCTAAACAGAACAAAACTAACCATAGTGCAATCTAAGTTCATATCCGTGTAATAATCCTCACTGCCCCAAAAGAATGAATCTGTTTACTAAGCCCCACCTGTGAACTTCATATTAGTTTCTTCCTTAACATTTTCAGAGTATATCTGGGCTTAAAGACCAGTCTTTAGAAGCACAGAAAGAAAACTCCAAACATAGCTACTCCAATCCTAATTGTATTACACTTGTCATCTATCTCACAATTAATTCAAAATTATATAAGATAATTTGACAGTTTTATTGATTTCTCCTCAACCTGAGACTCAGTGAACTGGATTATTTGTAGGTTATCCTTTTGGGGTGAGGGCTGGACTGGTTCTGTTGCCCAGGCTGAAGGGCAGTGGCGCAATCATGGCTTACTGTAGCCACGACTCCCTGGGCTCAAGCAATCCTCTGGAGTAGCTGGGACTACAGGCTTGCAGCACCACTCCTGGATGATTTTTGTATTTTTTGTAGAGACAGGGTTTCGCCATGTTGCCCAAGCTGGTCTCAAACTTCTGAGCTCAAGTGATCTGTTCGCTTTGGCCTCCCAAAGTGCTGGAATTACAGGTATAAGCCACCACAGTCAGCCTATTTGTAGGATATTCTGCAGGAGGTCAATAAAGGTTTTTGGTTACTGATGTTCAAACCAACCTGCTGTTTAACACCACTGCCAGAGGCAAAGCAGGTTACAAATCTTCCTTAGGGATCAGAAACAATTTGTAGAGGCCCATATTTATTAATAGCTTTGGAATGATATAGATACTTGGTTTATACCATAGAAAATGGAATCGATATTCTCCAAAATTCTAACAATATGATGTAATTGTCCATAAATTAGGAATCGCAAAATAAAATTGATCTTAGTCTTGAAACATTATGAGAAAAAATACTTATTGTCAAGAATTAAATCAACTAATATCAATCTTTTATCATAATTATCCAAGCTTAATCTGTTCATATTAAACAGATAGGTCAATATATTACACTTAGCCCCAGAAGATATATTTTACAATGAATTCTTCTGAGAACCTGTTCTGAGAAGGCATGTGATGCAAACAATCTTTAATATGAGGAAATGGAGATTTTTATTTCTACTCAAGGTGGGAAATGGCTTATCATTTCTTTGAAACATTTTCAGACTAAAATAATCTTATCCCTAATTTAGCAAGTGGAACTTTGGAGATTTGAGTGAACCTTCATTCAAATTCTGAAACACACTCAGAAATATTTCTTGGGGAAAATCCTTACTATACTCACAAGTCTTGATGTGGTTTCTCCATCTCACAAACAAATAAATATATGTGGAGCCTTAATTTTCACAGAGGAAAGTCACATCACCACATGTGTGTTGGATTCAAGTATTTGTAGCCAACCATTTGTTTGCCTTTGGCTGTGTGAATATAAATGGACTTGACTCATACAAATAAAAAGTCTAAAAAATTAAAATGCAAGTGAAAACTAGAATAATATTTATACCATATATGTCAAAGAATTTGCATCTTTGCTGACTTAAGAATTTTTAAAATGTGTTCTGAGATAGAAATGAGTTTTAAGTGGCACAACATTTCCAAAGGGCAATGTCAAAACATAATGACTGTATTAGGTTTGGTGCAAAAGTAATTATGGTTTTCACCAACAAACATAACGGTAACATAATGTGTGTGTGTGTGTGTGTGTCTCTGTGTGTGTGTGTGTGTGTGTATGTGCGTATGTCTGTTCCATATGCTTACTATGCACTAAAGACACATTTTAGCAAAGTTCTATTGGCATGACAAACTAGACACACACACATAAACATACACACACATACAGACACACACAGGATTAGATGACACATGTGTACTTCCAGAATTTTTTTGAAATCTTAGTTCATGGTTATAATGAACAATCTTGATTTGGAACAAAGCAAAAATCTTGTGGTCCCCTAAGTGTTTAGGTGAAAACACTGATTATTATTGCTGATTACTATTAAGGTAATAGTTTAATTAATAGTAACTGCTAACATTCATTGGATGTGAAGAACAGTGCTTACTACAGCTATTTAATATCAAAGTAAGCCTCACAACAAACCCAGGAAGAAGTTACCATTATAATCTGTAATTTCAGATCAACTGAAGCTCAGAGATGTTAACTTATTCAAAATCACAGAGACATGATGTGCGAGAGCTAATATTCACAATCACACAGTTGAACCTCAGAGTTTTCAAATTCTTTGTGATTTTTGACTCAGTCAAAATTTCTGTCACTTTCTAGAACATTTTTTCAAGTAAATAATTAGGTATTCATACACAAATATGGTAAGAGCAGTATTACAACAGCAAAATCTTGGAGATAACATATGTCTCACATTAGATATTGTTTGAGTAAATTATGGTTACATATACAAAAATAGGGAACTTATTTCTCAAATAATTTTAAGGTCATT